TTCCGGCCGCTATTTTAATGACACTCTTTTTGGACATCAAATCGACTCTTCGGGGCTCAAAAGTGCCGACAGTATCGCCTAAACCCAGACATAGACTGCAATTGGATCCCAAAGCGTACATCTCGTCGTCTTTGGTCACAGCAATGGCTTCACCGCCGGAACAGCCGAAGACCGTAAAGAGGCGAACATTGGAGAGAAGACTCTCTTTACAACAGCTGAAGATTAGCCATCGATGAATGGATCCCATTTTGAGCCGATCCGTCAGCAAGAATTCGTAACCTCTGGTGTCAGTCATTAGTCCATCATTTGTGACGATCGCATCCGAGCCAACCTCTGCCTATGGATTGGATCAGTGTTTGGATCAGATGTTGTGATAAGTGGTAAACAATTATAATTACGCAATGCTTTGAGTCGTCAAACATATTAAACATCCATTCATTCAATCCGTATATGAATTGCAAACAAAAATATTGTTGTTTTTTCTCTGCATTCAAATGAATGCATGAAAAGCGCAAAACTTAAACATTTTTATCAATTTCTAACACTTTATTACTTTCGAAAACTATTTCTCAAATCATATTTTAATGTTTAACTCATTTATAATGATTTTTAATTGATTTTGGAAATCATTTAATGGTTTTCATGATTCAGTTTTAATAAAATAATTTTTTAAAATATAAGTTTTATCATTTATTGTATTTATATTTATGTTTTAATAATTAAAGAAAATATTTATTTTTATTTAATTTTAGTGAATTAAAATGTTATAAGTCTTTATTAAGAGACATGTCCTGTAATTGTCTCTTTAAATTCTCGATCATTAGATCCCTTTCTAAAAGTTCTTCATTTCGTTTTCGTAACTCATTTTCCAAAGCGTTAATTCGATTGTCTTTTAGAGTCATTTCGTGAATCAATTGTTTGTTTTGTTCATCGATTTGTTTAATAACGAGTTTCTCTTCATTTAGAAAGAGAAAAGAGTGCAATACTTGTGTGGCATTTGGTCTGAGGGCGGGGTTGGGATGCGTGAGATCGAGGATTACTTTGTGGACATTGGGATGACATGTGGTGAGAGTTGGCGGCAATTGTCGTTTTTTGGTCATATTTG